GAACCCGAATTAGACTGTTTTCGACAAATACACTCATTTGTTTATCAGTTTAACCTCCACGGGAGACTCAATTGAATCTCTCATTTATGATGTCCTCCAGCTGAATGTGCTGCACACAGGGCGCCTCATGTTTCAGTTGGTTCGATATTCGAGGTATCGCAGTATATTTTCTCAGAGGAAACTACTCAAATGGTTGTGGGCTGTCGAAGAGTCTTCAGCAACCTAGACATGACATGGCTGTCTTTCATAGGTACCTGGATGAAGTTCTTAAGATAAGCCGTAAAAAGTTAACTCGGTTCACGTTAACTCGAATCAAAGTGAGCAGTATATTTTCTTAGAGGAAACTACTCAAATGGTTGTGGGCTGTCGAAGAGTCTTCAGCAACCTTGGGAAGACATGGCTGTCTTTCATAGGTACCTGGATGAAGTTCTTAAGATAAGCCGTAAAAAGTTAACTCGGTTCACGTTAACTCGACGTGAATCAAAGTGAAATGAGGAATTATGAATGAAATCTCAGCTTTTTCTTGTAAAGGTTGCGCAAAATAACAGCTCCAAAGATGTCTTTTTCCTTCACACATTACGTCAAATACAAGAAGCTCAATCTTTTGGGGATCAATACGTTAAAGTGTTGTTCACTGGCATTTTTAAAGACAATATTTGTTCTAGGAGGAACAGCATAAACGAAGAATTCGGATGAGTCTTCCGTTACTAGCCGACTGGTGAATACATTTCGAAGGACCCAGTTAAAATGCTGCTCAGTAAACGACGATATTCAGGAACCAGTCAAACAGGTAGCCCTTGCAGCTATCATTCGTTATACGTCAAACTGTCATACGTTTGATAAGATTCTGACCGTCGTCAACGTGTCTGACATGCTTCAGGTCAGTCCCAGGTTCCATCCTCGCACAGGTTTGTGGACAATCGGACCAAGATCCGAAAAGGTCAGCTGTTCTAAGAGTGTGTCGTAGAAGAAACGCTCGTTTTTCACGTTTCATACCTTCAAGTAACCATTTTTCCATACGTCTATGTTAATAGGGAAATGGTTTCTATACAACAGAATGCCGCAAGCAAAGCATTGTTGCTGTATTGGACAGATTAAAACCTAGCTTTCCACCTCCTAGCAGACCAACTGAACCGGCAGCAACAGTGTGGGTTGCGTCAGCAACCTTGAAACATAAAAAAGTTTTGTGTTACTTAGTCCCAAGATACCTTGACATCATCGATTCCCAGGGGGATGACACCTCATACAAAGACAATGTACAAAGAAGGTGTGTTTTACCTTGCCAACTAATTTTTCTGTGGTTACGGGAATTTCAGGTCACCGACCGAAACGATCACCTAGACTCCAAATCACTTCTTTCGATGTAGCCCACTAGCTGGATGCAGGTTTTCCTTGCAGGAAAGCGGGAGTAGCTGACCAGTATTCAAGCCTGACGACAAAGCAGGTCCAGACTGCAACACCGTTCCTAGTCGTGTTTCAAAACACGAAATCGATAATCGTAAAATACTGCGGGATCACGCACATAAATCTAACGATGAACCTGCACAGTATTCGCCAACAGCATCCCTCGTACATTCAGTTTACGGATAACTGGAAGAATGGGACAAAACCGTAGATGCCCGACTAAGTCGATTTGATAGAAACTAGAGGTCCAAAAAGGAGCGCAAGTGTGTGACCTATCGCTTATGATTGTCAAAACTTCGGCTTTTTGACGCCATTAGATGGTTTCTCACATGAATGATACAGTTGCTCTGTGAAAGACAATATCAAGATAACCGTGTTCGTTTAACTCTCTATCGTGACTAATTCTACTGGGTCGTCCTTGGGTCCTCAGCTATTCTTACCCTTCTGCACGTTCGCTTCGGAATATCCACTATCTAGAATGAGCAGTAAGTGATCCCATTTTGGCAGATCATTCCCGGGGAAACTAAACGCACAAACTGGAGCATAATTTGCCATCTTCAGCTACCTAACTTAGTTTGCTTTAATTTATGGCAACAAACTTCGATTTTTTACATGTCCAGACCGATTGTCGGAACTGTACAGTCAGAGATCCAATTTGGATTCCAACAACGGATATCTTATGCTAGGTTGGGATCAAAACCCTCCAAATTTAGCTTGACTGTGCCGACCCAGGTTCTTTGAAATCTTCCAAATTAGTAGCATGATGAAGGAGCTAGTAGAAGTCTTTAGGGCTTAATTTTGAAGGTGGCTAGCCAGCACTGGAGCACTGATGCGGCAGGGTAATATCCCACAGTACCATGCAAATGCTAGCCTGACGAAATAAAAGAAATGTCCCTCCATTTTTCAATGTTTCCATGTAAAATAGTCCAAGCATTGGCCTATCGGATACCTGTGTGGATGGTGCATTCATTATCTAACTGAACCGGTTTTATGGCAATAGAAGTGAAGTCGAACTCTCGCGGAGTCTCTGTCTGATGGCGCGCTTAGAATCTGTTTGGAGTATGCTGTAGATTCAGAACTGGGGTTTCTCACAAATATTTCTTTTCAACTACCTATGCAAGGTGTTTCGCCAAAGCAACAACAAATCGCTCGATGTATACTCTGACCCGAAGAAACTGCTCTAGATAAACTTGAAGACATACCTGTCCTGAGCGGTTTTCACAGTCGCTTCATCTATTTGTACCAATACGGCGGGTGAGGCTCGTATTCGTGAAACCAGTGGCCTTTTTCCCTAGTCTTGACATTCCGACCTATTGCAACAAGACAACATCCTTGACTTTTCTTCCAGGGATACCAAGTGTCCGCTCTTAGAGTCGTCCCAATTCAGAGTTAGTGGTCAGCTTGCTGTGGTATATTCAACGCACTGGCCCCCGGATTGCGTCATCTTTGACTCCAAGCTACCGGCACAAGGGTCCACACCAGACGAATCCAACTTCACGATGGCTGATATCTCCACTAACCTTGACAGCAATAACATGATCGGGGGACTATGAAAACTACTGAACTGTTCGCTACGTCTGATAAACGAAACAGTGGGTGAGTAGATTCTCGAACAAACAACTATAAGTTTCGTGTGTCACCGTATCACAGAAACCTTAATATTGACAAGAATTCTTCGATCTCAAATCAGCTGATTCTAAGCGACAATATGGAGAACTTTGGCACTCTCCTGGTGAGACTCCACAGGCGAATGAAATTCGAATCCATTCCGGAGGTTGACCGTCCACAATCATTTCTTTATCTCCTTGTTTTACATACAGAGACGATGCGTCTATCGAGGTATGAAGGAATGCCCCACGTCTACTCGGTTTAGCGTTATTGAAGTACACTATACTCGAGCAATTTTCGGACGTGATCACTTTAAAAATTCCTTGTGGGGTACAAGGTTTGCCATAAGAACCCTGAAGGGGCTCTGAGATAAAAAAAAGCATCTGATTTGACCAGTGGATAAGTTGCCCAAAACAAGGAACGATCGATGCTCCATGTTGAGACAGTGCTTGAAGACAGTGAAACAAAGGCCAGTTTTGGATATCCTATGCACGGATCGCAACCCCACAGATACTCCTAAAATATAAAAATATAAAATAAATCACCCAGTTATTTAGATAGGATGCGTTCTCAAAGGTTCACAGAGTCATTTCATGCGTGAAACTTGGTGTGGGTGATTAGATAAGTCAATTAAATCAGAGCACGTGATGCCACGTGATGGACGAGTAGAATCGATCAGCCACGGTGGGATAGACAGGAAGGTCTAATTTTGTGGTGGCCAAATATGGAAAAACATAACCTGATTGAAAATGACAGCTTAATAGAGTAACATAATACGATTTAAAAAAGTGGTGAAAAATGAAGATGGAGGAGTAGATTCTCAGTTTGATGAAACGTTTATTGGCAGTTGGTTTGGAGCACATAGTGACTTGATAAAACGACATATTGTGACTTTCTCAGCTTCGTGAATGTCGTCAAACAAAAATTACTTGAGGAGCCATCTGAAATGTGCTCAACGTTGCCTTTGGCATGCACTCATCTTTCGTGTTCTCAGACACCATCGGAGCCATCTGAAATGTGCTCAACGTTGCCGCCCTGCCTTTGGCACGCACACATCTTTCGTGTTCTCAGACACCATTTGGTTCTACCAGTGTGTCTGAGTTCACCGATAGGTCGATTAGATGAGTAAGACAACAAGTTCTTTTATGATCTGGACGGGAGAGCGTGTAGTCTGATGAGAGAAAGGACTCATTTAGCACCAGTCTAGGTACGTCTGAACTCGCTGTTAAGCGGTGTTTAATCAAGGGCGACAGGTCCTGCCACATAAAGGGGGAAAATAATGCGGTACCTTTATCAAGACAGTCTGGTGGCAAAGACAACAGCATTCTTGGAACCCTCCTTGATGATAAGATACCCAATGGTGAGGATTGTGAGAAATATCCAGATGAGCTGATCCGAGTTGTCAGGACTTGGGCATACTTACGGCCAATAATCATCTGCTAGTTAGTTTGCTAGTTATCTAGTCTCGCCTTTAATAATACGCAACTGACTGGTAGCGACTGTTACTCGAACGCTTACATTCTATGAAAGTCTTTGAGGCAGAGTGTAAAACTATCCGATGAGTGGTCACCACATAGAAGAAGCAGGTTCGCCCAAGGCGTGGGTAGCCATTCAAAAGTTCAGGTACACAAGATTTGCACCTATGGCAGGCCTATTTTGCATGATGAACAACGAAATTGTGATCGGATACCCTGTAGATCCTTGAAGTTGATTGCTGTTGCGTTCGATGTGTCATGTTCGGCGTCGTGCACTGAATACTGCGCATGTCTTCGGAAAACCACGCAACTTGTTTAAAGCACAGTCATCATCATGTAGTTCCGTGATGTTTGATCCTTTGAACGACTTATATCAGGGAACTATGTGGATGAAGCGAAGTTTTCGCCTATTGCTGAGCAATCCTTGAACAGCGTGGTAGATTTGTGGTCTGCTTTTCCCGCCGGCTTTCAAAAGCCGAACAACAATATTATCAGACTCAACGAGAAGCACTTGCTATATATAGAAGATTAAAAATCCGAACCACTTATGAACGGCTGTTTGACTCAGTTTGATGCCTTCCTTCAAATTTCAACTGAAAACAAAAACTCCAGGCATACAAGGTTTGGGATAAATATGACGACTGTCTTCTGAACACAGCACATTTCAGTTTGTCCGTTGTTCAGTCGCCGAATAACGCTTTGGTTAACCCACTGGACATAGACCATCTGAGATCAAGTG